CATATTAACCATGCTTGAAAGGGTCCAACATAAGACAAACATCATAAGACCTCCTTTGCCAGTATTAAATTATGATAATAGGCTTTTCCCCTTTCTGGTAATAGAACAGGTGTTAAGTCGTTAAAACACCAAACTGAAACCTTTGCAAGGAATCATGTCTGCATTAACCACATATACTTGCGGTGAACATGCAAACAAAAAAAACATGCTCTGACAGTACGTGCATTGTCTTTTAAACTGATTGGTCCACACCAGAGACCATGTAGCTGCTCACCCCGAGCTATTAATGCCCTGATAGTGCGTTGTCTTTTTGCTGTTCGTCTGTTGGCGTCCTCTGATTTAACGCTGTTTGAGACTAGGCTCTAAAGAAAGCCTTGAATAAAGGTGTCAGTTTTGTACCAGTTTAAAAGGGTAAAAACCTACTACTCTAAAGAAAGCTGTCTCTGGTGTGGACCAATCAGTTTCAAAGACAATGCACATACTGTTAAAGCATGTTTTTTGTTTGCATGTTCACCACAAGTATATGTGGATAATGCAGACATGATTCCTTGCAAAGGTTTCAGTTCGGTCTTTTAACATCTTAACACCTGTTTAATTGCCAGAAAGGCGGAAACCCCTTTATCATAATAAGACAAACAGTTGTAGTAAAGTAAAAGTTATTGTTGCAAATCACAAAATGTTTCAATCAACCTTAACTAATGAACAATAATAAAATAAATTATCGCCTTCATTAAATGTACGACACAAACCTAAAGCAACGAATATAACATCCGCGTGTAGTTAGGGCAAAAAAAAGACCTTTCCTCTAGTTTACTTATACATTTCAATAAATTACTGTGTTTATGTGAATGCTTTGATGTAGTTCCAGGATTGTTCCTCACAACTGTGGTATCTCAAGGACGCCAATATATTGTTCTAGAACGATGACTCCCCAGACTACCCTTAGACATTTCCCTCCATTCTGAGTGAACCCACAAGCCACCCTTTAAAACAATCATAATAGGAATGATCAAAACACCATCCCTCAGCTTTGACGCGATTACAACTGGAAAAACGACAAGCATCGTGGTTTTGTTCCAATTCAGGGTTTCATCGACAGTTGTCATTAAAGAATGTGCCACATAATGAGAAGATCACGCTTGCCAGCTGAGTGGTTAAAGACTCCATTATACTACAAATTTAAGTTGGTGATGCTGCTCTGATGGCAGTAGTGCCCCAGCACAAATAACACAAAAACTGAACAAGTTTGTCAATAACTCTGTGGCCTTAAAATGAGAAAATATATTAAAGGTGACATTTTAAGCAATGGCCCTTTTTCACGGCTTATGCGTGCGGTGTGTACTGATCAACCTTCAAAAAAACCTTTACTCAAGCCAAGAATATGAAGAAGTCAACAGCGAATGTTGTTTTCTCAACACATAAAGAGTTCTCATGCCAAGTGAATTCAATGCCTATCGATCGAGTCACCCGGCATGTTTATTTTTTAAACCGACTATGACAGACCAGATGCTGCCATTAGTTGTAATGGTTAACACTGTACTAGTTGCAATGGTTAGCATTGGACTCGCAAGCCAGAGGCCAGGCGCTTCAATTCTATTAACCGTCTTGGCGTTTGAAACAATGCTGCAATTTCTTTTTTTATATCCTCCCCCTGCCTGTGTCCATCCAGGAGTATGAATGGCCACACCACAGTAAGTTGATTGACAGGTCACACGTGATGAGGTTAAGTAGGGTAACTACCACCTCTTCCAAGACGTCTGGTCAGTGTGGAGGAGTAGGCCAAATAGCCTCTAGAGGGGCTCTCGAAAGCTCTCTGTTGGTGGAGTCCCTTTCAGCAGTAGCGGTGTGAGCTAGACAACATTTTTACCTTTTACGTGTTACTAATGCAGAAAATGGTGTTCGTTCTTTATTCGCTAATGTTCAGCTGTGAAGAGCACACACGGCGATGGAGAAATGGAAAGCTGCCTGCTGGCCCAGAGGGGATTCTCACACTTCAGCATTTGGTTTCAACAACAACAAAAAACACACAACCCATTGCATTTTTTTCCACGCAGAGTCATTAAATTCCTTCTTAATCCTATCTGAGAATATTGACTGCCAAGTCCTGGGTAGGAAGTAATATGAGAGAAAACTTTATTGCTGTATTGTTGGTACACATTGGCTACATTAAGAGATAAATAACACACAAGTGCATACAAAAAGAACCAAAAACACACAAATAGGAAAATGTTACATCCTTATCAAATGTGAGTCATTCATAATGCTTGTATCAGCCTACCCATCTTTCACCCACTTTTTCGCGCTTACAGGGCCCACATTTGGCAGAAAACCTGCTGCATTGATTTGAACCAACCTCATAATCATCATCGTCATCATCACCACCGTCATCATCAAAAACACAGAAGCGGCCCAAAATATTGCAGCAGAACTGGGCAACAACAGGACGCGTTTGTGGTTCACCGCCGACGTGGTTGCTATGACGCTGTGTGACCTGGGAAGTCCCAGAAGAGGGTGAGCTCGAGTCAAAAATTTGTCTCGGGCTTTAAAAAATCTCCCCCAATGGGCTTTTTTTTTGTTTTTACCCAGTGGGAATTTTCCATGGCTTGCGCTGACTTCACCCCAGCTTCCGGACTTGAGAAAATTATGCACTTGCACAAACCTTGTGCTTAGACAACACGCGTGACACCACCCCCTACCAATTTCCTCTGCTCGTTACAAAATGACACGCCTAATGTCGCGCACATTAGCGCGACTGAAATTATATCGGATTTCGACAGTTTCAAGTGACTCTTATCTGAAAATGAACTCATTAATGCAAAATTTTTCGTGCGAATTAAATGTAATCCTACGACTGTGGTTTACACAGGCAGTTTACATTAATTAAGGGGGCCTTCGTGATGCAAAGATGGCATATATATTACATGTATGTACATTTATGATGTTTCATTTTTTATTATATAGCTACCTTACACATCACGTTTTAATACAAAGCAATATTTTATGGCAATGCGTCTGAGTTAAAATTGGATTTTCACAGTATTCATAAAATATAATTACAACAGATTTCTAATTCAGTAGGCAACTATTGTAATCCTCATCTAAACATGGACATGTCCTTGTCATTTAAAAATGTACTCTAGCAAAATGTGCTCTCTTGAAAAGTATTACTTTTGACCGAATATTTATACAATTGGTCGATCAATATTAACAGCTGCTTGCTATACCCGCTGATGGCTAACACTCTACAATTATTAAAATAAACTGATATCTCTATTGAGTTGATCATTATAACCAGTGATCCACAGGGACTACGAAATTCAGTGAATTCGTTTTTAATTCCTGCCACCAAAATGAGGATGTCTCCACATTGCATTAGTTAAAATAAAATAAACTTCCGTAAAAAAATCAACAATGGAATTTTAATGAGTGCCAGTCACATTTTAAGTTGCTTTTGTTCAATTAGATATTCAATTGATGTCCACAAACGAATGTTAACACATTGCATCCACGGGCCAGTGCTATCTATGTCCATACGGCAATGTAGAAAATGTGGACAATGATAATTATTAATAAAATAAAATTCCCTGTGTATAAAAGGGACAGATGGGCCACGGTAATGTGGGAAAAGGTCTAGGATAACTTTTCATAATGTGAAAATATATGACCATGGGATGATTTTATGCCATAGGTCACATGCATCATAGTCCCTGTTATATGTCATGAGGGTTTCTATTTAATTTCACTGTCGCAATATCCTCAATGTCAGATTGGCGTATGGCATTGTGAGTGGTCTATGATAAAAAAAATGCATATGACCAAATCACCCAGAATGTGGCCTACCTCGTCAGATCTCGGTATCTAAGCAAGCTTGGGCATGGATAATATTTGGATGGGTGAACACCATGCATGCCAGGGTGTGATAGGCAGCTGTGGGGCTGTGTTAAATGTGTGGGCAGCAGAGGACAATGCAACAAAAATAGTGTTGTACTGTACTAAGATACCAAGTTTATGGTCCCCACCTTCAACAACCTGCACTGATCAGTATGGATAAATATGATTATATAATTCTACATTTGAAGCTTTCGTGACTGCAAGGATCCATACTCTTTGGTTTTTTCGGTAAAGTCATGTAGGTTAAAAAAGAAAATAAATTAAATCACGACGTTTCGGAGGCAACACAAGCCTCCGTCTTCAGGTGGAACCGTCACAGCAAAATTACTGATACAGTAATGGAACCTTCCACCTGAAGACGGAGGCTTGTGTTGCCTCCGAAACGTCGTGATTTAATTTATTTGTTTTCTTTTTTAACCTACGTGACTTTACCGAAGAGTATTATTAAATAACTCCAACGACCTACACGGAATGCGGAAGTCTTTATCCAGCAGTGGATTGACAACAGGGCTGTAAATGTGTACGTTCTAAAATGTACATTTTCTCACGTACATTTTATAACGTACAAAAGAGCAATGGGGTGCCATGGTGGCGAAATGTTATCTCCCTCATCTGGTACACAGGCAGTCGTGGTATCCATCCCGACCCTGACGATGCCTGTTTGCGTGTTCCCTCTTCCCGTGGTCACGTGGATTTTCTTCTGGGTCCTCCAGTTTTCCCCTCCACATTTATGAACATGCGTTTAGATTATCTGGCTGCTATTATAAATTCCCACAAGTGATATAAGCCTCATCGATTAACAATCATGTGTGGCCAGGTCACCTCTGAAAGAGAGCTCAGTGAGCTTCACCTGGTAATTAAAATAGTTTAGTATAAAAGCATAATTGTAAATTTTATTCTACCTTGAAGCAAAGTGCAGAGCACACCATTTCATCCATGACAGCAGTACGATGTAATAAGTTGGAAACAAAATTCCCGCAATAATAAAATGTAATTCTGGAAAATAATAAATGAGTTTGGAGTCTTGCACCGACGGAATTTTTTGCGGTATAATGAGTCACTCAGCGATCAGAGTAGGAGACGCGTCTTATTAGCAGCGTGCGAGGTACCGGTGATGCCGGGGCCCATGGCGATGTATGGCTCCTCGTCTTCGGGCGCCGGCGTGGGAGCAACTCTGCTTGGAGTCATGGCCATGTACTCGCTCTCATTTTCATCGATTATCGCCTCCTGTTTTCAAACACACAACGTGCGACATCTGTTACTTACGGGAGTACTCTTGATATGTTTAACTGTCAACCAAACGTCAGGATTGTCTTTTTCACCCACGCACCTGTTGTTTTCTGATAATAGTGCGGCAGTTTGTAGGCTTTTTTCTTTCAATGAAAGCTACGGTGCAAAGTACAACCTATTTTTTGTTGTTGTTATAAGTTAAAAACAAATGATATCAACAATTCCTATTTCCAACAATGGGAAATGTCTTCATTCCAATCACATGGCTCAACAAGTACATAATTTATATTGTAGGAGCATATGCTACCAAGCATAAAGGAACTCCCGTTTATCACAATTTTCACAAATATGACAACAGTCGTGAACATACCTACACAATCCTGCAAGTCTCCTTACAAAATCGAGTTTCTCTTGCTACTTGGTTCTCAACTCTTTATCGAAAACAAGTACTGAAGATACGTGTGTCTGGCCTTTTTGTAAATCCACTGCTCGACAACAGCATCCCAATGCCACGCAGGTCACGGTGGTGATTTTACCATATTTCACCTAACTCGTAGGTGCGGGTGCAGGCGGGCAGTTTAAATATTGGATGTTGGTACAGCACAACAGTGGATTTTGCTGCACACGTCCAACGGATGACAATGGAGCCTTGCAGCAGTCGACGACAGCTGTCTTATGCCCAATGGGCGCCCATCTAAGCGCTATCCATGCCCGACCCTAGATTTTGGCTTCCACGGTGTGATGAGATTGAGCGCGCATTCTCTGTGATTTGGTCTGACACTAAGATACAGCAATTATGAATTTATGAATTAGTAAATGATGTATGGTCCTTCCTCGACTATTCACATGATTAGCAAAAAAATGTGCAAACTACTACAAAAAATAGGAAAAATAAATGACTATACAGTACTCTAATTGACCACTGTCTAGTGGGCATGTGAGTACTTGGCTAAAATTTATACCACAGTTTCCAAGTCACCCTTCCACTGCCAACATTATTATTTTCTTTGCTGCTAAAGACCGATGAGAGATTGCTTTTTACCATTCACGGGAACAAATGAAGAGCCAGGCTTACTTGGAAATCTTCCCCTGAGAGCCAGGTGAACAGCCTCGATATGTTGCCAAGCAATTGTTTTGCTCGTGCCACTACTGGGGGGGAAAGCCTCCAATCGGGGGTGGCTCTAGAGGATGCTGTTCCCGGTTCACTGGAGGGAGCTCAAGTGAACCTATCTGGAGGGCGTTTTGGCCTCTCCCACACCAGCCAGACATCTTGGAAGAGGTGGAATTACCCACGCTTAATCTGTTGATTTACAGCCTGTGTGGTGTACTGCTAGCATGTATGTTGAACTTCTTTCGCACCACACATAGCCAACTGTGCTAATTGGAGGTGCGGGGGAAATGACAAAAAAAATTAAACACAAGAGGGATTTATGAAAAGTTATCATTGTTTCAATTGCTACGTTGTGGGATCAAACTGCCGACCTTTGGAAGTCCAGTATGCTAACCATTACACCACGACAGCTTCCCACCAAGAAATACATTGTATTAAAATGAAACTCTGCTTTCCTGTGAATCAATATGTTATGACCAACTGTGGATACATATCGCGTATTTACATTACAATGCAGCACCAACAGTTTATGGATCATTTCTTCATGTTTCACTTGCAGCATCATTAGTAAGGAGCCGGGGAATCAATATCGACTTCAGATTGCCTTTAAGAGAGTTCAGGAGTCATTTTCATGCGACAAAATGATTGAAAGCTACCCACAGGGCAAGTCGTCGTTTGTAAAATTGCATTGAATAAGAAAAAAAAGTACCTAACTTTTGATGCTTTTCATATAAAAATGTAAAATAAAAACCCAGCTTTAAGGTCATTAATCACACCGTGATGCACTTGGCTAGAGGCTCAAAATGTATTGTTTGCACAAAACAAGTACACAGTTAATTATATATTGTTTATCGTCGAATCATATTCTGGAAATTCTCTAAAAAAAAACACCGTGGAGAGAGCGGCAGTGCAGTGATTTTTGCACTGCGCTATAAAATCCTTAAGTTTAATTCCCAGCCGTGGCTAACGTCAGTGATCCTGGTCCCCCTCGTTCATCAGTTCACACTGACCAGCATGGTGCACGGGAAGGGCCTTTACCCAACAGTGGATTGACAAAGGGATATAAAAAAAACACTAATTTAATTCACGAATTATTTTAATTGCCATATAAATTCTGGCCGCAGTGTTGAGTCAGCCCACGGGGTCTTTGCAATTTTATATGGGTGCAATTTAACAAAAAATACATTTTCACAATGACATTTTCAAAATGTACTCAGCCTATATGGATGGATTCCAAGTCATAGAGACGAGTATCGTGCTGATATTATTTTCAAGATATAAACCCACTGACCAGAGTGGCCAGAAATTGTGCAAGATTGTATTCTATCCAGAGAGGAACTCGGACTGGGGAGATTAACCCTGGCGATGGGGAACACAGTGCGTTTGAATTGTCCCAGATTCCAAATGGGTTACGAACTTTGCGGCAATTTGTAAAAATGCTGCCAAACCCCACAAGCAGACCCCTCTTTCCACTTCCAAATGCATTTTCACCATTTCCACCAGCACCAACCTCTCATCCATCCTTTAATCCTACCCACACACACGCACGTCATCCTAACAACAGCTCCCTGGAGCATTATAGCCCGAGCCTTTACACTTTTGACCTTAGAAGCAATCCCAGGCAAGGTATTGTGATCCTGGGCCATTCCCGAAAATTTCGTCAAAAATGGTCAAAAGGTTCAAACGGTGTCATTGGCACAGACTAACATATGGGAATTACCGGCTTTCAGACCATCTGCGCGTACTATTTTAGCCTCTTGACATGGAACACAATCTAAGGTAAGATATTGTGGTCATAGATCATCCACAAATTTTCATCAGGACTGGCAAAACTGTAGAAGAGATAGCACGAGTACATATATATGAACAGAATGAAGTGCAGGGAGATGCCATCTGGAATGAGCAGAGATCAGTTCCATGAATACTTTTTTTAATGATATACCTTGGGACAGTGGGAAGTAATCAAATGATTTTTTTTTTGAATTTACATATATTATCTTACTCAATATTAAGCTCCATCAGTGAGTATATTGCAGATCATTTTTACCAGTAAGATTATCAAAGCTGCTTACGTGCTCTCACATTGTCAGGATATTCAATTGGAGCGGCTGTGTCCTGGATTTAAAATAAATAGGTCCAAAATGGTTATACTCCTTTTGGTGATTTGATAAATACACAAAGGTCTTACTGTCAAAGATAATGTGCATCTCAATGGGCTCTTCCCTGATTAATAAAAAAAAAAGCCTGCATTCTTGCGTTTGGAACAATGTGGAAAGAATTAGAGCTTTTGAATCCCCATTACATTTTAATTAGTTAATTTATTCAAAAATAAATCATTACTAAGGGCAAAAAGCCCTGAAGGTAAATGCATGTACAACGAATACTCTTCTATTTTATTGATATATGTTTGCAGTTCAATATATAATTCATGAATTTTAAATATCACGTGCCATTTATATTAAAATTACTGCTATAAAATCAACATCTAATAAAAGTTCTGGTTCTAATGGGGCAACCTTCAATTTTACACCATGTGTGGCTTTGAAATAACAAATCACAGCATAAAAATTGCGTTTTTACATTGCCACTGGTAAAACACCACATCGGTTATGCCCTGTGTTGTCTGATCAAGCTATTCAAAGATCAGTTAATACATTATTTTATCGCCTGGTATAACAATTCATATTTAATCGTGAGTTCCAACCCACTGATTCCATCAACGTAACAAATTGCTCAACATAAAGTAGTAAAAAAAAACATTACAGTATTCTATTCAGCAGTGGATAGATAAAAGAGCTGTATGGGGTGGGGTGATAGGCCTACATTGGTTTGGAGGCCTTTAATGTCCTGGTGGCAACAGACATGATGTTATCAGCCACCATACTCCGGTTGAGGTGCAGATTGCCACCTGCTTGAGGCGCCTGCTGCTCGTGTTTTCAGCTCACCAAAGCTAACTGCTGCAAAGTTGGCTATTGGAAGCAATATATGGCAGAGTTACTCTTTGGTTCTTTCGGTAAAGTCACGTATAAAGAGAAAATAATAAATTAAATACTAGCATACGACGTTTCCATTGCAACACAAGCAATCATCATGAGGTATAAATGAAATAGAAACACAAATCTAGTATGCTTAGAAATGTAATGTAATACAACAGAGAGTCGGATAACATAACAGTCAGCACCCTACCTGGCTGATTACGTTCTTCCTGAGAATGCTAAATTTGAGAGAGAGATAAAACACAGAACCAGAGACATATAGACAGACATATAAGTAGAGACAGATACCACAGAGATACATAGAGAGAGAGACGTACATAGGCACTTTACCGAAAGAACCAAAGAGTAATTCCTGCAGTCACGAAAGCTCCAAATTAAATATGGCAGAGTCTTTACTGCCACACTATGAGCCAACAATAATCAAATCTGCAACTGATGAGAGGACGGAACTATACTAATAGGGGTTTTCCCCTTTTTTCTGGCAACAAAACCGACACCTTTTGCAAGGAATCATGCTTACATTAACCAAAATACTTACAGTCAAATTATCAGAGTATTGTTTTTTGTTTGCATTTGACTGCAAGTATTGTGGTTAATGTAAGCATGATTCCTTGCAAAAGGTGTCAGTTTTGTTGCCAGAAAAAAGGGGAAAAACCCTATTAGTATATTTTGGTACTGGCAAAGGAGGTCCCATGAGGACGGAACTAGTCCATCAAAGTTGTCCACCTCTGCATTGCTGCTGCTGCTTGGCAGTCAATCACATTTGCTCATGTTTCTTTCGATGGTGACCTGGGACAATGGGAGGAACACATTGGGGGCCTCTTCAGAAGCTGCCGATGGGATTTTTTATCGTGACCACAAAGGCCGAGTGTTTCATTGACACGCGTCTT